GCAGTAGCAACACCCCCCATCCCCCACCACTCCACCCCCACCCAGCACCATTCCTGCTTCCAGCCTAGCCCTCATGGCCACCATCTTGAGCAGCAATTCCCATGTAAAAGGGTCCAGACACCCCCAATTATCAACCAACTGCCACACACAGGGCAAACTAGTTTAGCTGAAGCATGAGTACACCAGGGAGAGACAGGAGATAGTATGTGCCACCACCTTGACCATCACCTCCCCCTTAGACCCAGATGGAGACAGCCCAAGACCCTGATCCCAAGAGACTTGACAGTACCCAGCCCAGTATCCTCAGCCATCATCCTGGGAAGTTAGACTTGTGGAGATGCAGCTTGGCCAAGTGCTCCAGCAGGTGCTGCAACCACATCTACTGAAGGCCCAGAAAAGAAAATTCTGGCCACTAAAGTCCTTGGCACTATTAGAAAGTTCAACATCAGAAATTGATATAATTTTATCAGTGGGAATGATATTTAGAAAGAAGCATGAATATCTGTTTTGCTGCTGTGACATAAAGACCATGGGATCTTTCCATCTAACTTGCTGCTGACACTTTGCATATGGGTCGTCATTAGAATATGTGCTCCTTGAGAGCAAGAACTGTCTTGCTTTTCTATTTGTATCCCCAGCTTAGCACATGATAAGTGCCTAACAAGGAGGCAGCTAGATGGCTCAGCGGATAGAGCACTGGGCCCAGAGTCAGGAATACAAGTTCAAATTTGGCCTCCAACACTTAACTAGCTGTGTGACCTTGGGCAAGTCACTTAACCTCTGTTTGTCTTAATCCACTGGAGAAGGAAATGGCAAACCCACTCCAGTATCTTTGCCAAGAAAACCCATGGACAGTATGGTCCATGGGGTCACAAAGAGTTAGACATAATTGAACAACAAAGTGCCTAATAAATACTTTACTAATTTACTTATTCCTTCTGAACTTCATTCTTTTCTGTGAATTTTTTTTTGGAGGGGATGAGGCAATTGGGATTAAGTGACTTGCCCAGAGTCACACAGCTAGTGAGTGTTATGTGGCAAGTGTTACGTGTCTGAGGCTGCATTTCAACTCAAGTCCTCCTGACTACAAGGCCACTGCTGTATCCACTGCACCACCTAGTTGCCCCCTTTTCTGTGATTTTTTTAAAAGCTGTAATGCCTCTCTCTCTCTGCCTCTTTCTCTTTCTTTCTTATTGCTTCCTTCCTTCTTAGTAAAAAACAAGAGAAAAAAACACCTTTGTAGTAAAAAGGTCAAGGAAAATTAATCCACACTGTTGCCATGTGCAGAAGTGCGTGTTTCTGCAACTGGGTCCATCATGTCTCTGACAGGAAGGGATAACATCTTTCATCATAGGTCCTCTGAGGACATAGGTTGGTCATTCCATTGATCACAGTTCTTAAAATTGTTTTTCTTTACAGTATTGCTGTCCTCATATAAATTGGTCTCCTGGTTCTGCTCAGTTCATTCTTCATCAATTCATTCTACTCAGCATTCTCTGAAATTTTCTTTCAAAATTTCTTACAATGCAATAATATTCCATTATATTCATCCACTGCAGTTTGTCCAGCCAATTTCCCAGTTGTCTTTAAGATGTAATCTAAGGCAACCCTTTATATTCTAGTTTTTTTCTTTTTCTCCCTTTTAATCCTCCATTCAGAATCAGGAATTTTGTTTTGTTTCCAGTTATTTCTAGCTCCTTATTATCCTCCTCAACCTCTCCCCCTCATTCCTACTTGTTTCCCTATTAAGTTTGATGTACCTTTACATCAAAATATGTGTGCTTGGTCCATTTCAGATAGAGTGAGGCTCATCTGATGCCATCCTCTCCCACACTCCCCCCATATTTGTATACTCTTCTTCTCACATATACCAGTTATGAGATGTCATACAGGTCTCTACAGTTGCTCAAATAAATTTACCTAAGTTTCTGTGCACTCGTTTGTATTTTAAGGTTCCTAATCCTCTCTGGTCTTTTAATCAGAAATCCTTGTTCCTTCCAATTCTTTCCTCCAGAGCTTTTGTTTCATTTTTTAAAAGTCTCTTAAATCATTTCTTCTAGGTATTCATGTAGTCCTTGTGGAAAATCCATTTTTTTTCCTTTGAGTCACTACTTGCAGTTAGTCTCTATTTTTTTTGGACATTTCTAGGTTTGCAGTCACCTTTGATACTAGTTTATGTTGTCTTTGATTTACTCATATCTCCAACTTTAGTTCCTGAATTGGAGCTTTGTGCCTGAGTCAGGCTCTGCTCTTTAATGAAAGTTTTGGGTGGGGTAGTCAACCCTGCTTGATCTCACCATGGATCCCATGGGTTCTTGTCCTGACCTGCCTCTCCTGAGTTTAGGCACCGCTTGGATTTTTGAGGTTCAGAGTACTGGATCTTCAAGGCTCTCTCTTGACATCTCAGGCTTGAACGTTAGGGACCTCAGGTCCCCTGGGCCTGGGCTGTTCTGGCCTGACCACTGTGGCACTAAGCTGTTTGGCATTCCACTAATCCCTGATTTGCTGCCCACTGCTACTCCTCGAGGCTTTCAAGATTCCCAATGTATGGTTTTCTCAGGGAACGAGGGAATCCCTCCATTCTTTCTGCCACCAGCTACAAAGCCTTGTCCCTAAATTTGTCAAATCACTGGTCACTTGGAGCTTGTGTGGCTGGAGGAATATCTCCTTTCCTCATGCCTGATAACTTTTTGTGAATCCTAGCATATAAGAAGTCATTTACTCTAGTTTTTCACTGGGTTTCTTCACCATCATTTGGTCTGGTGATAACTTCAGAGTTTTACTAGAATAGATAAATGAGAGCTGGGTAAACTGCCTCTCATAGAGGCAGTCATCTTGTCAGGAAGCTAAATATACGCTTAAAAAAGAAAAACATGCTATACATAATAGAGATTCATGGTGTCATAGCTAATCATCTTTTTCTATTCTGTAAAGATGGAAATATTTATTTGTTGTCCATAAATAAAAAGAAAATTAATTTAAAAACACAGGGATATTGTTTATATGAGCCATATTAGAACTCCAAGTCAGCGTCATCAAAGACATTTAGGTGCTTTCTTATCCTGGGAATCCGTTCCCATATTAGCCATGATAAAAAGTTATTCTCAGGGGTGTGCTGGAGCCAGCTCTGAGAGGCCATAGTTAAATTTTCCATGTGAGCATTTACACCTCAGAAATCCCAGATTCAAATCAGGGCTTGGTTTATTGTTAAGTTGATAGTCTAGACTTAAAAAAGTGTTAATGATGCAGATTAAATTTAAGTGTGTGTTCATACATTCCCCCCCCCACACACGTATACACAGACCCTTATTGTTAAACATTTACCAATTGCTCTATAAACATGATGTGAACCCAGAAAGAGTACAGTATAAGGCTTAAGGAATGAAGTGAAGGCTGATGAGTGTAGGATAGTAACAACAACAACTGGTATGTGTATAAAAGTTTGTGATTCGCTTTACATCCATTATGTCATTTGAACCACAAGACACCAGTTATTCTCAGGAGAGAAAACAAGCAAAATAACAATTGAGCAGCTTTGCCTTCTCTGTTATTATTGTCCTGAATGCTCTGAGCACGAGTACTTTTCCATCTTTGAGTCTCCTCTTTCCTCTTCTAGTTTTTTTAAGTTCTTTCTCATGCTCTGAGCTTTAGCATTCCTAATACTATTCTTGAAGTACTGTGACACACTTTTATATTCATCTTTAACTTGCCTCGACTTTTATCTTATATATCTTTTTTAAAAATTTAAAAAATTCTAAGTTGGATAACAATTAAAACTGAATGTTGCCAAATAACAATGACTAAGCTAAAAAAGAGATATGAGAGGGCACTTCCTCCTGTCTTTGCAGAGGTAGGGGATTCTAGGGGTAGAACATTGCATATAAAGTAAAAATTCTTTGATATATGTTGGTTAGTTTTACTCTACTGTGGTTTTTCCCCCTCCCTAGCCCTCTTTTTAAAATGTGCTTTATAGGTTTACTCTCCCCTCTGGGAGGTGATATAAAAACAAAAGATACTTACGTAGCCCACCCTGGGCAGGCTTCCAGGAACTAATTACATCACCCCTGAGAGGTTGTGGGGAATCTAAGTCTGGCTGCATGACTAGGCCCAGGTTGGTTCTGGCCAGAATTGTAAACCGTAGCCTAATTAAAGAGTAAACCAAAGAAGGCCATGTCATTACCTGTTGAATGAGTTGGGGGTAAGAGTCCAAAGAACTGTAAAATGGTTTAGATTAAATAGTACTGGTACCATAGGCTTATTAATATGTTTAGCCAAGGATCCCAAATGCCCCCAACTTCTTAAGAAGAGTTTGAAGAGGGACAGGAAAAAGAATGTCTTCAAGACAACAGGAAGAAATTATTGTATGTTGAAAGCAGAATGAAGGTTACACAAGACAGTGTGTCTACATCCAGTGGATCCTAAAATAAATAAAAACGGCAGCCAGCAGTTCAGCCTAGAAGCAATGGGCTTCCCAAATCTGAAAATGTCTTTCTGTTGAATGAACAGGGTGCTTATTAATGCCACCGAGTGGAAAGTAAGAACAAGCCTCAGGATCCTGGCAAATTGCTTATACTCAAACAGATCTGTGTTAAGGCTTGCACAATACCTTGCTTTGAAAGTCATCAATTCTCACTTTGTCTAAGGCTTCAAGTAAGTGAAGGGGGTTGAACTAGATGATTTTCAAGTTTCCTTTCTAAGATTCTTAACTTTCCTATTTTAGGAACTCACTTATGGTAGTGCACAAATTACTTGGGACAAGCAATAATTCTGATATAGTTTCATTATGTGATAGTAATGGTCATATGTGCGTAAGCTACAACTGATACTGACTGAGATCAGATTTCTCTGTTCTTACTAGTTTTCTGTCAGTTGGGTGTTAGATTTTGTGCCAAACTGTTTCATTTTTCTCTTTTTTCTCTTATGCTGTATTTTTAATTCTGTGGTTAAATCTTCTAGAGTTGTAGCTTTTTAGAGAGCAGACTTCAGTGGCTCTTAAGAGATATTGCAATAGGTGTTATATATTCAGGTATGAGAAGGTCTCAAGTACAAAGTAAAGTTCAGTTTAAAATGAAAAACTGAAACTATTGCTTCAAAATAGCCTAAAGAATCATCAGAAAACAAGAAAAATTCTTCAGAAGGACCTGCATCTGAAGAAATCGTTACTGGTTCCTCTACAGTGGAATGTCAAGTTTCTTGAAGTTGGAAGACCAGCAAGATGACTGAGAGAAAAAATAAAACAGCAGCTGTTAATATGAAAGAAAAAAATGCTTGTCACAAGCAAAACAATACAAAGACAAAGATTGAAAAAAAGGTAATGTTAACTGATGAAACTCATTTTTTCATTGAATGTTATGCCAAAACTGTCAGAAATTGTCCAGGTAAGCCTGTAAGATTTGGGCATCTTCATCAAACTGTAAAAAATCCACTCTCTCTCTCTCCTACCTCCCCTGCCAAAAAAATCCATGTTGGGGATTTTTCTTTGCAGTGGACCTGTACATCTTATTCCTTAGTGGGAATTATGAGCCCTGATAAGTTTATCAATATTTTGAGATATTAGAAATTCCCAAATAGAAGTGGAATATTGTATATGCTCTTCACCATGCCACACATAACAAAAAGTTAAAAAACTTATCTAAGAGATGGAGATAAACATGTTTTAGTTATCTGGAAACTTGCTTGATTTGAACCCCTTTGAAAAATCCATGGGATCTTCTCAAGACTAACCATGGAAAAATGGAGTTTCTCAAAGATAGATTTAATATCCAGTAATAAAAGTGTAGTTTCATGATGAAGAATTAAAGAATGTTTCAAAATTTTGTGCACTCAAAACAAAATTGTGTAAAACAAGTAATTATAGCAAAAGGACATACTGAATATTAAAAGTTTGTTAAATGATATAAAGTTTTAAGGTTTATTGTATAAATCAATAAATTATTTTACTTTGTTTCACTTAAATTGGAACACCACTGTAAGACTGGAATGGAACCTGATTATATCCAGCTGTCACCAACTGTTCCCCTATAATCCAGCTAGTCTCTCACCAAGGTTCAAGTTCTTATTTCAAATAGGGTAGTTATTGTATTAGCTTATGCTCTAATTCACTTACATGGCTGCATATGGTGGGGGAAAAAAACATTCTGGCTTAGAGAAGGCAGCAAGGACAGCAACTGGTATATACAATGAAGGTCATCACATATTTAAGGAATGCTGGTCTCTTTGAAAAAAAAAACAATAAGATACACTAAGTTGGTTACAAATCAGAAACTTCTTAATGAATATTTTCAAGGTTTAACTACCTTACTGTAAGTGCTATCTTAATGGAAGTGTCAAGCCATAGCCATATGCCAAAGGAACTGTACACACACAATGTAATAGAAAATGAAAAGGGAAACTTTGTACACTACCAATTTCTAAAAATTTAAGTTTTGAAAAACAGTTAGGAGATTAGTTTTATGATTCTCAGCATTTAGGATGGGGAAACCAAAGCTGGAATGCTAAATAGAGCTAGTCAATTAAATGTATTAGCGTAAGTATAGTCAGACTTTAGACTTACTCTCCTGGCCCACATAAAACAGGCTGGCCTGAGTATAGCATGAATAGATATCTGACCTTGACTTGTTCCATTCGTTCTTTAAGAGAGACTGATTTCTGCCTTTGTGGACTATCCCCAGGAAGGATATTCTATCTACCACACCTTAAATAATGGTAATGTAGGAGTATGATACTTTTGGGGTTCAAGATAAAAGCTCTTTTCCTTTATCACTCTCAAAGAGAGGGTAATAGTCAGCTTATACTTACCAGCTTGGCTGGTCCCAACAAACACTTTGTACACCAAAGATAATCATAAATGGTTAGTAAGCCTCTTTATCATAATAAGCAATAAATGGAAACTCAAGAAAAATATACAGATTAGAGTACGTGAAAGGCTATTTGAGTAGATAAGCTCTTTGCTAGTAGATAAAAATTTTGTCTCAATTAGGGACAGAATGATCTCACCAGGAAAATATGTCCTTGGCAGTCTCTAGGGTTGCCAGCACTGGGAATCCAGGGACTTGTTGGGGGATAGCTTCTTTATATGCTTGTGGCTCCAGGGAGATCTTTGCTCACCATTCCAAAGGTACTCAACATAGCAGGCTCACTAGTCTTTCATATCTCCTCCTTCCCTACCCCTCACAGCAAGTATGCAGCACCACACATCGTGATCCCTCAGGAAACCACCCCAGGCTTAGGTGGAAGTGGGTTACATCAGTATAAGGAGAAAAAAAATATGGTTTATCTATTCTACCTCTGCAAGTATTTGCTATGGAACCAAGATCTATCCTTTAGAATTAGATCTAAGTGAAGTTTACAAATGTATTCTCCTAATTGCCAAGATCATTTCAAAGGGAATGTAACACATATGAAAATATGTAATAACAAATGACAATGTAACACATACAGTGCACACTGGGTACAGCTTGCTCGCTTGCTCTCTCTCTTGCCCACTGTCTCTCAGAAGCCATGAAAATTGAGATGGCAAATCATAGAACAATAGGGGAAGAAACTTTAGAAATCTTCTAGTACTTGGCCCAATTCCATTCCCCTTTTTATAGATGTGAAAACTCAAGCGCAAGAGAAGTTTTATGTGACTCAGGATCATATGGCAGAGCTGGAACTAGAACACAGCTCTCCTAATTTCTGGTCTAATGCTTTTTCTAATCTGAGTAATGGTAAAAAAAAAACACCACTACCTTTTAAATAAAACATCATGCAAGAGTATCTCTTCAGGCCAACAATGTGTAACAGAGTGCTGGATGTGGAATTAAAGGACGTGGATTTGTATCCCACAGTTTTCTCATCTGTAGAATAAAGGGGATTGGACTAGGTGAGCTTCGAGGTCCATTCCAGCTCTTCGTTTATGCTAACAACTCTCTGGATACAAGTAATAAGACTAACTGATAGTTCAGTATTAGTATATTTAGGGAGAAGAACCTGAAACTCAGGCGACTTGATAGTAAGTATCCCATTTCCCAACCTGATAAAGAGAAGTGAGATAAGGCAGAATAGCATATAATCACAGATTTAAAATTTGGAAGTTGTTTATAATCCAATTTCATATATAGTTAAAAAAAAACTGTCCTTAACATACCCCTGAAAAATGGTCATCTATCCTTTTCATCTTACCTTACCACTTGTCATTCATTTTTGTTATCTGTTAAAGTTGCTTTGCTATTTAATTCTCCACACAGTTGTGCTATCTCCCCAATCAAATTTTAAGCTCCTTGAAGAAATATGTTATATTTTATTTCCACCTGAGGGCCTACAGTCCATAGTAGATGTTCAATAAGGAGTAGTTATAGATTGATCTTCATTGACAGTTAATCAACATTCCTTCCAGGCTATGAAATACCATGTGACTACAGGAGGAAAAGCCAGGTCAAGTTTAGGTTATATGCTTACAAAGCAGGACAGGAAATTTAAAACTTGATTAATAAAACTATCATGATAAAAAGAGAGGAAGAAAAGGTTAAGACTGTATCTGTTAACACTCCCCCCCCCCCCCCCCCCCGCCCGACTCTAATCAGAAGTATAATTTACCAACAGTCCTCTGACCTCCCTCTGGCTAGAATAAACACCAGTGGGCTCAGAGCCACTCATGCTAAGAAAGTAGTGCTATTCCGTTGACTGACTTGGATTCTGTACCCTGTCCTTGACTCACTGACTTCCTTGGACTAGACTTCTTGCCTAGTGAAGGAAAGATCTAGTAGATTAGATCTAGAGAATCTGCCTAATGTTTTTTTGTTTTTTGTTTTTTCTCACAAGTATGAACCTCCTGGATAACAAGATTCCCTGGTAGCCTAAATTTCATGGTGATAAACAATTCCTTCACGTAGGCCAGAAGTAACTTCAACAAGTGTTTAGGAGAGAATTTTTTTTCACAACTTTCTACCTTCTAAAATGTTCATGAGTACAACATGATGTACACTCTTAATGTAGTTGGTAGTAAAAATTCTGTTCGTAAAACATGGCCTAAGTAGTCTTCAAAGAGGAGGATGTGACCTGACCCCAAAGTCTTTATGACTGACTCTCCTCAAAACAGTCAAACATGGGGCTTATCTTCAACACCACTAGTATCTACCCTTCTCTCCAAACATTATTCCCTCCATTCTGCCCCCTCCGTCCATAGTACAAGCTTCCAACTATCCCCTCAGAAACCAACCTCCCAGAAGCAGTTTTCCAAGTACTATTGGGAAAATCTCCCTCCCCCTTTCCTCCAGGATAACCAACCCCTTCCTCCAAGATCATCCCACGGTCATAGCAGGCACCCCTCAGGGAAGAGCTCTGGACTCCTGAGCAGTGAGCAGAAAGAGCCTTATCTCCCCTGTTCATTTTGGGTGAGACAAGGTAAATCAAACAAGATGAACAGGCAAGGATGGTTGTGAGAGCCTGTCTACCTCATTATCTTTCCTGGAAAAACATATCACTTTTCTAAATTTCCCTTTTACTGCTGAGGGCACCATCCTTCATTCAGGTTAACCACCTTGACTCCTCACTCTACCTCAACTCACATATCCAATCATTTGCCAAATCTTATTTCTCCCTAAACATCTCTACTTATCTCATTCTTTTCTCTACACTCACGCATCTACCCCCCTACTTCAGAAATTCATTACCTCACCTAGACTTCTGAATAGCCTAATTGGTCTCTTGCTACAGATCTCTCCACTCTCCAATACGCCAACAAAGGTAACAAAGTAATTTCCTAAAGCATAGGTCTTACCGTGTCACTCTCCTACTCAATAAATTTCAGCAGTTCCCTATTAACTCTAGTATCAAATATTTTTAATCTCTATCTCATATTTTAAACATTTCTGTTTTTATGTGTTTTATGATATAATTATTAGTATAGAAGTACATACATATTTTATAAGTAAGTAAATATAAGCATAATGGGCTCAAAATTGTTTTTGCTGATTGAGGTGTGTGGTCAAAAATGTTTGGAAACTTGATAGCTTAGCAGACAGTAAGGCAACCTCAAATCAGAAAGATCTAAGCTTAAATCTGGCCTTTAAAACATACCCATAGTATAACCTAGGGCAAGTACTTAAAATCTCATTGCCTCAGGTGGCTCCAATCTGCATTGGTACAGGGAGTTTCCTCTTCTGGAGAGCCTAATATCAATAAAATCGCAGGTCTGGTAAACAGGTAACCAAGACCCTTTTCTCCTTACCTTGATGAATTCATTTACTCTGATAGCTTCAATCACCACCTCTAAGTGGATGACTGCCAGATCTTTAATTGCCAGCCCCAACTCCTTTGGGAACTCTAGTCCAACATATCTGACTACTTGCTGATTTCAATCTGGAAGTCCTCCTTCCTATACCTCAAAATCAAAAAGTCTAAAACTAAATAATATAATCCCCAAATCTGTGCTTCCCCCTAACTTATCTATTTCTGTCCGTGGCACCACCATCCTCTCAAACATTCTGATGTTAAATTTCAAGCCACTATGACTTTTTCCTCTCCACATCTAATCAGTTATCTCTGTAAAATCAACTATAAGTGATCTGTCCTAGATCAAATTTCTAGGACTTTGCTTAGATCTTCTCTTTATATTAGTTTACAAATTATTTGGATTTTAGTTATTTATCTGTCTTGCCTCACTGAATTACTTCTCTTGTACTTCATCTTAGAATAGAGGTGACCCTATGCCAACATAGTTTAAGCTCTGATAGGTCCTATATCAAGCTGGAAAAGCTTTAATTATATAACCAAGAATAGATCTAAGGATTTTCCTAGCTGAATTTGGAAAGCCTCATAATCAGTTTGGACACTAAACAATAATAATTGCTATTATTATTAATATTGCCACAAGACACTAGCATAGAGGGATTCCAATCTGCTTTGGTGGCATTAGTACCCACAAAGATGAAATCATGAATCTTTTCCAATTTTGTATGTCATAGCTCCCCCATTATATTATAGATTTTTTGGGATTACAGATTGTTTTAATGTCTTATTCCCTCTTTGTTTCACTGGCACATTGTAGACCCTTAATGTTTGTTGAATTGAATACTGTTGACTTTTTGAGTATGTGTACTAGTTTTGAAAAGTTTGAAAAATTCTCGTTACTAAATTTATTCTGGAGAGAAAATTGATCATTTAGTATAACATACTATTTCTCATTTATCTGTCTCTATACTAATTCTATTTTTCTAATATTAAATTGTAGCAATTTTATTTTCAAATTCTTTAGTATAGTATATTTTAAATCTACCATTATATAAAGTTTATCTTCCCCAAACTATCAAAAGTTTCTATTTACCTCTTATTTTTAAAGAGGCATATCACCTTGAGCCCTGCTCTAAATTATTCTAGCCATAGATTTCTGAAATCATCAATTTTGAAGAAAATATAACCATCCCAATGGCTACTGAATGAATTACTACTGGAACTTTTCACCCTAACCGGAAAAAAAAGACTAGTCTTCCAAAAAAAAATTCACTGAGACACTGACAAAACTCACAAAAATTCATTGTTTTATTGCACCATGATCTTGGCAATATCTGAGGCTACCGAGCACCCTTCAACTGGAGGTGCAAAATACAAGGAGAAGACATATCTATTCACGCATGTACATTAGAGAGATTATACAACCATTAAACATGAGACTTTAAAAATTGTCAAAATGAAGTCCAGGTTAATAAAACAATCTAATCAATGGTAATTCATTTGTGAGTGACATTATACCTTATCACTCAAAGGAGCAGGGTCTTTACAGTACAAATCATACTCTACCCCAACTCACCTCCTAAATACAAAGTTAAATAAAATCCACATTCTAAGTCAACTGAATGACTGCTATTATAAAAGATATATATATGCATATGTTTGTATCTATAGATATTTATATGTATGTATATATATGTAAATTATGTACATGTCACCCTAGAGTTTGTATGAAATTATTTCTGGGCACTATCCCTTCCTTCTCCCAATTTGGTTAATCATTTTTTATAAAAGAAAATGGCTAGTCTACACTCAGTCTACATTTGGACAATGATAAAATGCTTTGGAAAGTCATACATATATTTTTAAAGACTATCGGGAAAAGATGTCATAATTGTAGTACAGAAGGGATATATGAGAGGTTTAGGAGTAGGGAATAGGTTAAGTGTGGGAGAAAAAAAATAAAAGAGGATATTATGCCAGTAGAAAACTTAAATTTTCTTTTTCAACTATAGGGCATTGCAGAGAAGTGGCTTGGTATCGAGATATTCTGTAGAGGAGTAAATTTTAATATAAGGAATAAGTGATTACTGAAAAAAAGCAGCTGCTTCTCCTCCATCATGGCAATAGATAATTAAGCCACAGGAACACTGATGACTGCTTCTTTTTTCATGAAAATGAAGTATAAATTGATATTCAGAAATCTGCAGTCTAAGAGGAGAGCAAAAAGTCCCCTAATTAGCATTAGCAAACCCTACAATTCTGTTTTCGCAAGATTTGAAGTAACTAATGAGGACAGACCACATGTATTACTATTCTCAAAACAGTGTTCTGCAAATAGTAGCTGCTTAATAAATGACTGTTGAATGAATATGCCCATTTAAAAATAAAGGTCTACAATGCTGACAATTCTCCCAAAGCAGGTTCTGTCTACACAGTCAACATTAAAACCCTAATTAAGGTGATAGCAGAGTATAAGGCAAAGTTAAATTAAGAAGAAAGT